TAAGGGCCGTCCCGAACAGGTAACCGGGGATGATATGTTGGTATGTTGGTATGTTGACATGCCAACACAGTACCATAGCACCATATCATATATTTCCTTTTCTGGCAGTCACGTGCTGCATGTGATCCAGCCTTGTCTTGGGCCTTTGTCCCGCAGGGCTGTTCTTTGCCGGTAGACCTTCCTTCTGCTATCCCCCCCTGGGGTCGAACAAAAGGCTGTGTCTAACAATATATACTATCTACTATAGAAGACGCTTTACTACGGAAGTATAGTATAAGTTCTCTTCGAGAAGACGGAAGACGAGGTTAAGTCGCCGTTCGTAGTTAAAGAAGTCTCGGACCGACCCCCCCCGACGTAGATACACTCTCTATAAAGCCCAATTACTAAACGAGACTAGATAAGTAATATCAGCGTAAAACTCTAATCGGCGCTAATCGATACGCGGTTCTACCTAATAATATCTATAGCGAGAAAGAGTATTATAAAATCCTAGGCTAATTTAACTACGACGGCGAGAGACTATATTCTTTATCTCTACCGCGTCCTCTCTCTATTCGTCTTCTAAGAGATTACGCCTACTCTACTAAAGGGCGAGTTCTTACGAGAGTTACTACGCGCCTAGAATAAACCGAAGATAGCGAAGAAATATAGTCATTATCTTCGTCTACTTTTATATAATCGCCTCTAGAGTCGCCCGGGCGTAAACGACTTTAAATTCTAACGCGAAGCGATTAACGTGGTGACGAAGAAATAAAAAGTATATCTAGATAAGAATAGTTTAAATATACGGGGAATAACTCTAGATTAAATGAACCGGTGTCAATAAGGGCGATTACGTACGAAGAATATCTATGATGGCGACGGTACACTTATATATAATGCGCGTCTTCTAGCGAATCCCATAATTCTTTCGTCGATTATTATAAAGAGCGATTTATATTCGATATCGACTCTAAGTATAGACCCGGCGTAAGACTTATCTCTCTCGAGGACGTCCACTGATCACGGCGCGCGCCGTCTTACTCACTAAGGGGTTCACCGCTAGCTCCTTCATTATATCGTTATTAAAGAGGATTCGTTTATTAGCATCGAACACCTCCTTCATCGAATTATAGTTCTGAATGTATCGGATATCTTCGCGATAAAGGCGCGACCGTTTCGGTAGAACGCTAGTGATCGAGACGGCGTCACGGAGCATCGACTATATATAGAAGCGAGCGCCGACGCCATTCTACGACGATATCCTCGGTTCTTCCTAGTAAAGCTACTCGATGTAGAATTCGAGATAACACCGTCGTTATAGGTACGTAGTAGGGACGTAGAGTATATAAGAGTCGAGAGGCGAGCGAGAGATATAAATCTTCTATTCTAAGTCGAGGTAGAACCGGTCTTAATCGATATATTTTCACCGTAGTACTCTCCGAATCTAGTTATCTGTTAAAGATCCTACTGGGGCCTAACTGGGTTAGGGTTCCTAGTAACAATCTGAATAGTATGAACTGGTTGGGGAGAACACAAGGTATGAGAAGTCACTTGTCACTAAGAACTATAAGTCCAATAGTTAACATGAGTTGGCTACGAAGAGAGTGTAGGCTAGAGACGGGGGGTGGGCGCAGCTATATAGTCACATCCT